AGTGCAGTCCGGTTACTCAGAAGCCATTGGACCCTTACGAGGGTTGCTTTCAAGTTTGGTTAGGTGGGACCAGAGTGGCCCCTGGGCTAGGGCCGATTTTTCTCTATACCTGAAAGCCTGTCTAGTGTGACGCTGCCCCTCTGCCCAGCGAACGCCAGCGCCTGGGCTCCCCTGAATTCTCAAGTGTCTCTCCACAACTCACAGAGACCCTGGGGCTCAGTGTGGGTGCCGCTGCCTGGAAGCTCTCTCTAGGCAGCAGGCTGGCAGGAGTGTGCTTGGCTTATTTCAGGAGCAGAGAGGAGGCCAGTGCAGCTGGAACTGAGTGAACGAATGGGCGGGTCAGTGGTCCCCGTTGTGGTCAAAGGGACAGTTGGGAGCTTGCAGGCCTTGCAGTTACAATGGAACAAGTAGCCTCAAAGTGAGTATCTGCAGTTAGATATGAAAACACACATTATGTTGCAGTGTTTGATTTTTACTCGTTGCTACTGATATAAATGTTCTATAACTAGTGGGGAGGGTATTGCTCAGTGGTAGAGTGCATGCTTATCATGCATGAGGTCTTGGGTTCAATCCCCAGTACCTCTGTTAAATAGATATATAAACCTAATTACCTCCCCCCACCAACAAAATTTAAATAAAATTTAAAAAAAATTGAAAAATAAATTTAAAAAGTTCTATAACTAATAGTTACTGTAAAAATTAGGCTGGAAGTTAATTTCATTTTGAAATTATTTGGGGTGATTTTCTATAACATCCCTTAAAGTGTTAGAGGCAGAGTGAATTAAAAAAAAAACAACTGGAAATATTCAGGTTGATCTAAACCGTCTTACAGATGATCAGAAAAACTGACCAGCATCTGTCCTTCAGTCTAAAGTCACACAGACATTTGTAGTTTCTGATGATCGAGAAATACAAATCCATACACTCCACAAATTCCACTGAGGTTAAACCTCACCTCATAAATAGACGGAGGCTTTTAAAACTGACACTGGGACATTCCAGCTGTGCGCTGATAAACTGTCCTCCTCCCTACTGCCCTTAGAGCCTACTGAGTATTAAGACAAGTCCGCCTTCTTGAGTTTCCCAGTCAGAAAATCCATTTCACCCGAGTGAGGACAGGCAGCCCCACTGAATCTTCCCGACTCCTGGTGGAGCCCGAAACACACCCGTCCCCGTGGAGCTGGATGCGAAGTCAGTTTCCCGGCCCTGCACCACCAGCACGGCGCCTGGGAGGGCACAGCCTTTCTGGTCTTGTGGAGGCCACCCCTGGAGAGAGGTTAAGGGGGGGGACAAGACCATAAACTCCTCTCCCCAGTTATCATTCACGTCCCTGCTGTGAAACCAGCCAGACCTGGAAGTGTCACAACCCCTCTTCTCCTTTACAGCCCGGCATCCTCCTCCTGCTCCCAGGGCGGAAGGTGCCCCCATCACCTCCTTCTCCTGCACCCCCTCCTTCTCCTGCACCCCCTCTTCCTCCTACACCTCTCCTCCTCCTGCACCCCTTTCTCCAGCACCCCTCCTCCTCCTCGTACCCCACCTCCTGCCACCCCCTCCTCCTCCTTGCCACCTCCTCCTTCCCTGCCACCCCCTCCCCTGCCACTCCCTCCTCCTCCCGT